TACTGGAATCGACCGAAATCTGCACGACAGCTTACGAACCGGATGTCTAGATCGTTACGCGATTTTGATTGGACTATGCTTAGCGATTGTATGTTCCCTTCACAGGCCCCTGACTCGTTAGTCCAGCCAAAACATAACTCCATAATTCCAGCCCAGTTCGGCAAGGGTGGAAAATGGACTTTCATAGTCAGTTAACTCCCTTGCCTCGGGAAGATGATTAATACACACATCAGAATATGTATTCCAGCGTAAGTAACTAACGTATTTTGTTCACGAGGGGAAATGTACCATTCGCATACAATTATCTTCAAACAACATTACGTTCGGATTGGTCTGTGTTGGCTTGTAGATACTACTGTTTGAGAGGGGTCTGAAATAACAACACTATAGCCTTCATCCAATATATCACGTGTACCATACGTGACAGATAAATAAAATGTTATTATTATTATTATTTTTCACGTAACTAATTAACACAGTGACCGCATGGCACCCACCCCTTAAGATATTGCAAAACAATCTTGGCAACCGATACTCGTGATAAATAAGCATTTTACGTTTTATTTATTTTATTTCACATAAATATTGTCCGGTATGCGAGGTTTCCGGTTATATATGGTCCGCATTAGCGGAGTTCCATTGTAATTTAGGTGTTCGTAATTGTAATGGACACTGTATACACAAAACAAAACTTAATAAAAGACAAAATAAAGAAACGCAAAATAATATTATTTTTAAAAATAAAAAAATCCACACATACAATCTCGTTAATCCGACACTCGTTAATCCGACAATCGGCCTTATCCGACACTAATGATGGGAACCGATTAAATCAGTGCTATTCAGACCCGTTAATCCAACAGTCTCGCACTCCGATTCCGACACACCTAATTTGCAACGAATAACCCTAATCACTCATTAATTAATCAGTCTCGTTAATCCGACACAATGATCAGTATCGTGGTATTGCTCAAACACTGGATTGATATATGAAGAGACTGCATGTGTCCGGTGTTTCAGGATGCACTTTGCATCTGAGATAGAGCCAACATATAGAGGGGTGTAATAACCAGACCCGCATTACAAATCTGCCGGACTGATACGACTTGTCAATCATTTAGAACGGGCGATCGACAACAGCCCTGGTGGTAAGAAATTGGAGTTACGTCCCTTTATGCGTCGTCTGCTCGTCTGGGTTTCCCGTGACAGTCTTCCAAATAGTGCTGGGACGAGTCCAAATTCACTACCCGGGTGCCCACCCTCCTATTACTCGACCCTACCCGGGTACCCGCTGCGGGACTCAAGAGATGTCCGATTGGGAAATGTTTGACCGTACTCCTGTCAAAATGTATTTAGATACAGGTATAAAATGATCTGGTCAGGCATACACTGAAGTTGCCTGAAGTTTAATCTTTATGCAAACATATGAAGTCAGAAGGAATGTGTGCATAGTCAGAAAGAAATGTGAACATTTGTCACTTATAGTGTAACCATAGAGTTCTAGATAATGTTTGCCATTAAACAATATAATCACGTGACTAAGCACGGGTCCGGGTAGTCCTGTGGGTATCCGGGTCCAACTCAGTACCCACCCAACCCGAGTACCCGAGTTACCCATCCCAGCCCTACTTCCAAACAAGGTGAAAATGTTTGCATTCACTTGCAAATAGAATTATGGAGCTATAAATACTACCGAGGAGCGATTTAAAAGAAAAACGGATACGGACGTTTTGTTAAACCGACAGCCAGCTGAAGCTATTCAGGAACTGCCGGGTCCCAGTTTGCGAGACCCGACAGAAGTGGCACATTTTGCTATTGATGTTGTTGTATATGATAAAAATGTTATTTTACGACAGTTTTCATTTTAATACACCATATCAAGCCTCGGCTCCAAAATGAGCCGGGGCGGTCGGGTAGCCTAGTGGTTAAAGCGTTCGCTCGTCACGCCGAAGTACCCGGTTCAATTCCCGACATGGGTACAATGTTTAAAGCCCATTTCTGGTGTCCCCCGATGTGATATTGCTGGAATATTGCTAAAAGCGGCGTAAAACCATACTCACTCACTCACTCACCAAATATGAGCCCTATGGATACCATGAATTAAGCCATATACAACCGAACCACAATGACACCATTTTAGATGCAGTATCTTGCAAACGTATCTGGTTAAACCCTTGGCAACGAAATGATAACCTTGTTGTTTTGTACATAACTCGCAGTTATATTTTTAGAAAGGAGATTTTTATTTTATTGAAACAACTGTTGGTACAATAAACCAAAGCATAAGAATAAACGGATCTGCATTATTAGATTTATTATTAATCACATTTGGGTTTTCAAATATCATAATAAACCAAACGTAGGAATATGTGGTTGGTCATTGTGGCCTATATACTTATTTTTACAAAAATAGATGTTATTTTTCAGCATTACTAATTTGACACTTTGCCAGTTATATCGCTATTTGTAGTACATGTATACTGAACCACCCCGTTTGTTAACGTTATGCAAGAGACCTTTGTACATGGGAATACATTCCCAACTCTTTATTATATTTATGTTACTTGGTTCAATATGTTATCCATATAATAACCTCTAACTCTCTCGCCATAGATGTCAAGTATCTGCATGTTAAATATTTTCGTATAGGAAATGTAATAAATATATCATTCAATTTTTTGGTGTACTATACATAATATGACCTAAAGTATCATGCGTCATATTTGCGTGCTTAGTGACGGATGACAAAGCAGAAACAATTTATGGATAATAGTATATTAAAGAAGCCCCAATCCATAAATTGTGTCTACTCTGCGCTTACAAGTGTGAGTTCGTTACTAATTATGTCGATTTGATTTAGCCAACCAAAATATTTGCAGGGAATGGGGCATGTTTTGATTTCTGATTATAATTAAGTTTGTGTTTCCCACTCCTGACCTGATGTATTCACTACTTTATACAATAACTTAGTTCAACCAATTTTAACGTATGGTTCAGCTATTTGGGGCACCAAAGAATTTAGTTGTATTAACGCTATCCAAAATAGAGCTTGCCGCTTTTTCTTGGGAGTAGGCAACAAAACACCTAATTTGGGAGTTAGTTGGGGAAATGGGATGGTCATCTAACTATACCAAGCAAAATATTGAGATAGTACGTTTCTGGAAAAGGCTGAGTTTGGCAGATGAAAACGGGCAATATAGTGCAAAGATGGTCATCTAAATTTCGTAAGTCATGGGATAATTCAGTTAAGAAATTATTCGATGTGAAATCAATTACTTCTGTTATAACTAATCTATTATCTTGTGACTTCGACCATGCTAGAAATATACTCATCAATAAGGATAAGGAACTATTGTTGGAACAGCTCTGGGATGACAGAGGATTAACAAATGGTATTAAGTTAAGAACATATCGACTGTTTAAAACGTCTTTAAGTTCCTCCAAATATGTCATTAATTTAGCCAACAGAGAACATCGTAGTATATTTGCTAAATTCAGATGTGGCACCCTCCCTCTGGAAATTGAACTTGGTCGTTTCTTGAAACCAAAAATCCCCTCACATTATCGTATTTGTAAACACTGTAATACAAACAGTATCGAAGACGAGGTTCATTTCCTAACAACGTGTAATCTTTATGCAGATCAACGAGAATATGTTTGGGGTTATGCCTCGTCTCTTTGTCCAAATTTTTGTTTCATGACACCTATAGATCAAACCTCATTCCTTATGAAGGGCGATAATTTATCCTATTCTGTAGCTGCGCTAATTAGATCCATGTACAAACGTAGTTTATATAACAACGTGTCATAAACCCATTCTTGTATTGTATGCCCCTGTATATTTTATAAAACATCTCATTGTATGGCAATGCTTGTTATAAATTTATGAGTATTATACTTTTATCACGTATTTGTGCACCATTAATAAATAAATTCATCACTGTCCACTATAACTATCATATCACTTGCTTTTAAGAACATTGGTGTCTAATAGGCCCACGCTGGCCGGGCGATGTATATCTTCTAATATATTTTATCTACTGAATAAATTGATGTAATTTTATGTATACACCGCTGGACACTTAAATAAACTATTTTTCTTCTTCTTCTTCTCCTAACTATAGCAACCATCTTCGTGTCGACAACGGATGTTTTGACACCGACTTTTCCGTCCGTGAGTCCCACGCTCCATTCCGATCAGTATACTGAACTATTCTCAAATGAAGTAATTTTCGTGGAATGAGAAACATCCGTACGTGTTGTACTCTGAAGAGTGTAGAAGAGGAATTTCACTTTATGCCTATAAGTAACACTATTGTGAATACAACAAAACGTACATTCCCAGGAAATTTACAGATTATCCTCACCCTTGCATCTGTTTGATACACTACTATAATGCCTACCAAAAATCACAAAGTACACTGACGTATTGTTTTGTATCTTCACAATGCTTTGATGAAAAGAAAATACACTTACCCGTTAAAAACAGATTGTAAATGGGCCTGCGAGAACATAGTTATCTCTATATATTATACAGACGCTTCATTCAATATGAGTGACCTATTACACGTAAGCATTAGGTGTGTAACAGCTATTAACATAGGTTATCTAGAAAACGAGTAATTGCCGGTCTGTGTTGATTCCTCGAAGCACGGTGTATCTGCTTTAATCTGGAAATGAGGAATACGTTTAATAATCATTCTGAAAATTTGGTACTTTTCATTTATAAGAACACTCAATGAATACGTACGGCTATTAAAGTGTGTCTAAAGGCTTATGTTTTCATGAATATTGTCTAATATGTGAACAAGAGCAAGGCTTTGACCCCAGATGATTGTATTCGGACCTGTAAAACAACACTTAAAAAACAACAGAAAAACAGTACAAATATGTGGTATCGCATCGACGGAGTGTGTGAAAACTCTTGCGGTAGACGACACGGAAAAGACCGAAGTTAGCCGATCGTAAATCCGTTCTAAACTGGTGTTTCATTCAACGCGCATTCTCCAGAGAACTCAGCGGTAGACGGGAGACAGGTGCCGAGTTTTCGCTCCCTCGTACAGCAAGGCTCAATTTTTAAGCTGTAGTTTAGTTGTTTTGCGAAATACATGAGAGGTTTGACAGGTGACAATGGGACTAATACGATGGGGCTTTACCCTCATCCTCTTCACACTGGCGTTCACGTATCTACCAAGACTGTTCGCACCAAAGCTTCTTCCTATCGTTGAAGGGTATTTCCACCCGAAATTTCGCAAGGTTGCCGAGACTCTCAGGTATGTCTGCTGCTGTTTGTTTACCGTGTCCATAGTCCAAATACAGTGGTCTGTGTAAGATATGAATTGTGGTTTGACCAGTGAGACGTACCGACTGAACATATGATAGATCATGTAGATACTAGTACCCTGTGTCGACAAATGACCAGTGCCGACAAATGACCAGTGCCGATCATCAGCTGATCGCCAGCTGACCGCGATCGATCTACTGTCTCTGGTCATCGCTTCCAGTGAGTCTGTGAATTTCCATTTTCATGACTGGCTCCAAGCACATAAATTTGGATGTGTGATATAAAATATATTTATTAAAAAGACAATATTTCAATCTTTATATTTGATATCCTAGTAGATCTATGGCAGACATTTATATAGCCACTCTTTAAATTGTAGAATTTCTTTTGATATGTGGACTTTGCATGTACAGACTTATAAACATCCTGTGATGTCATCCCATTGTCATTCGAAGTTTATGTATCATTTATATCTCTCTGTCCCATAGGGGCTATTCTATGGAAAGTCTCTCTGTCCTGGCAGAGATAAATGTTGCCAGAGCTTCAGATAACTGTTTGAGGAATTGAGTTTTTACTTGAAGTTTCTATTTTAATTGGGTTATTACATTTTTCATTGGCTAACGTATATTTTTCACACTGCTATTCATCACTCTATTTGTTTTTTCCCAAAATAAGTAGATCTACACATTTTGAGATTTCAACAACAAAAACATGTTTTAAATGTATACAAAGGTTCTAAATGTAGGCTTGCCTCGGAAAGTAACTCGTAATTGTGTTTCAGAAATTAGCTCCGTTGTATGCATGCTGAAAAAGCTTCATTGGGTATTTACGCCTGCTGTTTCTATACATTTGAGTTTTTCATTTAATGCATGCATTTCTGTACGCAAGTTAATTGAAAGTAATTGGGTTTTGAATATTTTGGGGGGTATTTTACGCAAATACACAGCTTATCTGTAGCTCTGTTTTGTATTTGAACAGAATCCTTATAATACACATTACAATTCTAACTTAGGAAATATGAGGAATGATGTGAAATGAAACGACAATTGTTACTTATATGAGTGTTGGGTCGTAGCTGAAATCTTCGTATCTGTATCCTTGTAAGTTGCCAGTGTCTCAGCATTACTTGACATGTTAAACATGTTAAACAGAATACACGCCAGGCCTCTAAAGGATGCTGGCCTTCAATGGACATCTAGTCTGCAGCTTGCACAATATTAAAGACAACCAACATCAAATTGAGGAAATACAGTACTTCAAGCTTGTCAATTAAATTACCGTATTCGACGTAATAAGCGCCCCGCTTTAATGCGCCCACGGCAACATTTGCTAAGATATTGGCTAGTGAACAATCCCGATTAGCACCCCTTCCGATTGATCAATGTACACAAGACTTATTTATTCGCGTATAATACGCACTCGTGTGTTATATGCACCCTTAATTATGGGCATTTAATTCTGGAAAAATATATCTGTCGTACATAAACCTTTCAGGCTGTCCGCATAAACCACGAAATTTATCTTTCAACTCTGCTTTTCACCAAAATAACATTCTAATAAGAGCCCCCTATTTCTAATTTTGAGAGAGCCCTGGGCACTTATTACTTCGAATACGGTAAGTAGAAAAGCTGCTATAGCCTGTGTAGACAGATATAAGTGTAAACATGCCTTTGTTGCTGGTCAAGTTGCTCTGATTGCTGCTCTATGTTCATCATTGTACCTTTCTATGGCAGTTTGTCTTTCACAAAACAGGCTTCAGTCAGAGCCTACTTTTTGGGAAAGCTAAGTGATTTATCATTTTTATAGAAGGTGCTTACCATATGATTATTAGCAGTATACAGTGTAGGTGTTTGCTGATGGATCAAACTAACTACAGGGATTTATCTGTGATTCTTAATGAGTGTCCCCGTCCGGTTAAATTTGAAAAATGATTATTTATTTTTCAAAAGTTCTTATTTTCATCAATTCTGCATGTTCAGAAGTATTTTAACCTTGTATTTTGTGATTGGATTTAATGCAATAATATAAAACGAAGCTTTAAAACATCTTCTTACGTCATGAATTGGGAATTTCTTGGTTTCAAATTGGGAATTTTGATTGACATTTGCTTCAGACTTTGTTGACTTTTGGTCTCTGAGCAAGTCTAGAAATCAAGAGGCAACTAACGGGATTGGGTGGTCAGGCTTGCTGACTTGGTTGATGCATGTCATCGTATCTCAATTGCGTGAATTGATGCTCATGATGTCAATCACTGGATTGTCTGGTCCAGACTCGATTATTTACAGACCACCGTTAATAGCTGGATTATTGCTGAGTGCTGTGTTAAAAACAACAAACAAACAAGCTAACAAGCTGATATCTTTGTTTAGTTTCACCATGGACCCAAACTATAGTGTATTATTAAGTGTCCATGGTTTAATGGTTGGCATTGTTTCTGTATGTTCTCTGCTGTGTATAGTCTTGATCATGTTGATGAAGTTGATCTGTCACCTGTCTGATTTGGCAGGCAAGTTGATTACACTCAGAATCACCTGAATACCACCTGATGATTACTGTAATGGTTCTTGATTTGGTGGTTTTAGCTTATTCCACGTATCTGGTTGATGTTCCATGCTCTTCCTGATGTAACCATGAGATGCAACACTTCATGATTTTTGATGGATTTATTACTGAGACCTGTCATCATTGGCCACGTAAAAAACATTGTTAGGATTCAGACAAGCATAACACATCGTCGCAAAAATACACTTTCACTTGACAAGTTCAATGTGTAACGCAATCGCTTTCGCAAATCCCACACATTTCACTTCAAATCAAAACATGTGCTCCTCCCCACTTCCATTCAAAGGGACATAACTCATCCTCGCGTAACGCTAATAATAAAATATGCATTGCTATATCGTAACACTAAAATATAAATCAACCATTAAATCTCCCAACATTACAATTACAAAGATGTTTGCCGATGAGTGCAGAAACGTTATCCCTACAAGATCCATCCTTGGTTGTCTCCTAGGTCCCCAGCTGCTTTACCAAATTGTGGCGTGGGCTGCACCCGGTAACCTGCCCGGTATACAGGATTGTTCAAACGACTAGGCATTTTTGCAATCAATAACCATTTTGTTGTCCATAGTGATCAGATTACCAATTTTTCCATCGGTCCTTCCACCCATCACCACCATGTCACATGGTTAAACATGTTAAACATGGTCCTTGTCATAATGGTCATATTTCAAACATTTGGCTCAACAGAAGCTTAAAAGAATTCAAAAACTTTGATATTCATGATATCAGCTTGAACTGCTCAATAATAAGGTTTTTGATGGATTTTCTACCCATATATCTTCATCAACTTTCGTTTCCTCTGTATGGTGTTTGTCAAAAGTCATCCTTGTTTTTCAGAGAAAATGTCGAAAGTGGCAAGGAAAGGGGCGGAGCTTTTGTTGTATATCACCGTGGTGAGGTTGTGATTGACATGTGGGCCGGCTATGCTGATGAGGAAGCTGGGAGGCGATGGGCCAGTGACACCATGTTTATTGCCTTCTCGACCACGAAGGGCGTTGCTGCTATCACAGTAGCAAGGATGGTAGACAAGTGAGTCCTTCACCTCTGGCATTTGCCCAGAGGATAAGAGAATATTGGGACAACCAGTCTACATGGAATAAGAGATTATCTGACAGATTGAAGGAATATTATGATTCTTTTAGCCTGGCAAGACACTAATCTGTAGTTCCAAGTTTCAGTTGTCATCATTTGTTTGTTTGTTTGTTGCTTAACGTCCGTTCCTTGGGGACGCCAGAAACCTATGATTGTGGGTTCGAATCCCGGTTCATCCCGATTATGTTTCTAGGTTTGTTAGCACCATACCCGTGCTCATGGGTTTCACCGAAATGGTAAAAGTCTGAGACCCGCATTACTTCGGGCTTTCCTCCCACATTAAGCTGACACGCCGTGATATAACTGGAATACTGTTGAAAGCGGCATTAAACCCATAAACCAACTCACTCACTCACACTTGTTTAACGCCACACTCAGCAATACACCCGCTACATGACAGCAGTCTCTAAGTAATCACATTTGTACCAGACAATCCAGTGATTGACATTATGAGCATTGATCTACACAATTGGGATACCATGACGTGCATCAATCAAGTCAGCGAGCCTGATCACCTGATCCCGTTAGTCGCCTCTTACGACATGCATAGTCACCTTTCACGGCAAGCATGGGTTGCTGAACACCAATTTAAATCAGGATCTTCACATGCAGTTGTCATCGTACCCTGATAGGATGGATTGTCAATTTGTTTGGTCCAGACTCTATTTATTAAGGCTGTTGACATACTATCTGTAACCAATCAGATTGATACATTTGAAAAAGTATAGTTTAGTGAAAACAAATTTCTACAGATCACTTTCAACTTACAACAGATCAATGTTCATAGACATGTACTTCTGTTTCGATGGCAGCACACACTTGAATTCAGTAGTGGGGAGGGGCTGGTGGTTTTTTTTGAAAAATAATGTTCCTCAAAATGCTTGAAAATAATAGTTTTTCTCAGGGTTTGCTGGATATGCAAGATGTTGTGAAAAATAATGTGCTGATGGTTCAATGTTTTGTCAGAAACTTTGATAGAGGCCCATGTTGTATTCTCTTTGTCAACTTAAAGTTAATTTTTAATCCAATGCTATATTTTTGTTAATCATTTTTAATAAAATCAAACATACAAAGTACTAACCTCATTTCATGATTTTTGATTCTCAACATACTGTTGCCATGGTTACCTCCAGGGGCTGGCTGGACTACAAGAAGCCAGTGGCCCACTACTGGCCAGGGTTTGCCCAGAATGGCAAAGGGGAGATAACTGTGGAACAGCTACTGAGTCATGAGGTAGGTCACTTCATTGCTGCTTCTTAATAGGGAAGAAAAGGTGCCCAATATAACATGGTTATTGTAATAGCAGACCACAGTGAATAGGGTGGCCAGGCTCTATTGACACGACTGTGTAACATACTCTCCTTTTGCCTTGGATCGGTTTTCATGTAGTGATTCAGGCACTGTGTAAGAGTGAATATTATCCTACCCTATTTATTATCCCAGGGATGAAATTCTCTAGTGTCAGGATGATTCTCCCTAGTACATTTGAACCCAGTCTGTTTAATCCTATCCTATACTATACTATACTCTAGAGTAAAACTTCCCCCGGAATAATATTTAGGTTGGATATATCCTTACTTACAACTGCTCTTCAGTCACATTTCGTTTTTCTCACAAACTGTTTATGAAACTTTGTATACAGATCAGGAGAATGACGAGCTATTTGCTATTCAGAAACATTTTAAATTGTTTTTGAATATTAAAGGAAAAAAGTTGGTATTAGGTTCAAATGATGGTAGAGTTCATTTCTTGAGTATTACTTTTAATAAACTATTCAATGTTTCTTCCTAAAACTTTAGTCTACAGGAATTCACAAATGGTTAAAATTGGTGCAGAGACACATTAGGGAATAAGTTTTACAAAGACTATGTGGGGGCATGGGTGGCCCAGTTGTCTAAGGTCCGCCATTCTCTGTGCAGAGTTGTGTCCCTTGGCCACGCCAGAAACCTATGATTGTGGGTTCGAATCCCGGTTCACCCTAATTATGTTTCTAGGTTTGTCAGCACCATACCTGTGCTTGTTGGTTTCACCAAAGTGGCAAAACATCTGAGACCTGCATCACTTCGGGCTTTCCTATCACACTAAGCTGACATGCCGCAATATAACTGGAATACTGTTAAAAGCGGCGTTAAACCCAACTCACTCACTCACTCAAAAAGACTATGCATATGATTCTCCAGGAGAAAATAATCTGACTATCTCCACACTAAACCTCATCTTCCCGGGTCTTCCTGACTTTAAAAGTCCAATTTCCACCCTTGCCGAACTAGGCTGAAATTTCTGGGCTTGATTGTAGCGCCACCAGTGGCTGTTACAAGTGATGTCTTTTCTATATTCCTCCTATTGACCAATCAGATTACAACTCTCATATCACTTGCATTTTCTTCAAGCAAAATGTCAGCGTCCAGTCAAGTCGATCTGACCATTAATCAAGATCTATATTGTAATAAAATGGGTCTTCGAAGTGCATCAAATTGCATTAGCACCTTGATTAAAATCAGGAAAAGATTTGGGAAATATCTGTTGATGCCGAGTTGACAGTCACCTTCTTTACAAATACCGCAATAGACCGAAATCTACAGGGCAGTTTACGAACTGGATGTCGATTGTGATTTTGATTGGACTATGCATAGACTCATTGCCGTATTTTCTTGAGTATAGTGCGCACCCATGTATAATGATTCAATATTTTGGAGAATTTTTTTTTCAAATACCAAGCGCAGAATTTTTTTTACACAGTACCCCTTTAGAGAAGTCCGGCAAACGAACAGGTGATGAGAAACTTGGTCAGTACAAATTCAAAATTTGAGATAAAAAATCACCAGACATGTTGATATACCGTTTAAATTGTATTTTTTGTTCTGCTAGGCATTGTTTTATATGCAGGGATTAAGATTACCATGTGTATTTTCTCGTAAACTAAGCCGGACACAGCAATCAGCTGTACACACGTTTTCTTGGAATCTACCGGTGATTCGGTTAAGACACACCCAATGATATAACTTTACAGGATTTTTAATGCAAGGATCGTCAAAAGTTGTATCGGAAACTATTTTTTTATCAGGAATAATATATTCCAATATCTTGTTAATTTAGATGCAGCTTTTACTTAACATATTTAAAATAATAATAACCCCAAGCGAAGCAGCTGATCGCTATTGCCGGGTATTATTTTTTACATGGAACCAGTCTGACCAGTCACCGTCAAGGCTCCCGTGCACGTGATCATGTGATCGCGAGAATTGCGTGTTGACATAGAATAAAATTAATAAAATAAGTTACAAACATAAGTCCAGATATACAAAGAACACTTTTTATAGCCAGACAGTGTAATTACATGACTAATTTGCGTACTTCAGTATGGATTTGTTGACATGGTATTTCTGCTGTTACGCGCTCACGGTAATGTCTTTCCATGGGGAAAAAAACATCAAAACTCATTAATTCGTGTATAATGTGCACCCCCTTCTACACAGCTGTGTGTTTTGGAAAAAAAGTGTGCACTATACTCAATAAAATATGGTAGCTGGCCAAATTTTAACTCCATAATTCCAGCCTAGTTCGGCAAAGGTGGAAACTGGACTTTATAGTCCCAACTCCCTGGCCTCGGGAAGATGACTAAACCTCTGTGAAGGGGCAGACATGTCCACAAAAATAATGAAAAACTTTTGTTGTTGTAGATCATATGCTACCATAAAGCAATGCAAGACTGTATGAATGCTATGAATCCAGTGGTATTTATTGTGCTTCATCTAAATGTGTTTAACAGTCGGGGGGTGTTGACAGGGTGGTCTGGTGAGCATCGGCAACATGACAAATCTGTTTGAATACCGTGACAACCAGGAAGAGTTCACCCACAGACTGGAGAGGGTGACGCCACTCTGGAAACCAGGTCTCTGCTTTGTCATCTAAGCATTTTATTCAGTGTTTGAAACTTAGCATGAGTGAGTGAGTGAGTTGGGTTAAACGCCGCTTTTAACAGTATTCCAGTTATATCACGGCGTGTCAGCTTAATGTGGGTGGAAAGCCCGAAGTGAAGTGGGTCTCAGATGTTTACCACTTTGGTGAAACCCATGAGCACGGGTATGGTGCTGACAAACCTAGAAACGTAATCGGGGTGAACTGGGATTCGAACCCATAATCATTGGTTTCTGGCGTGGCCAAGGGACGCAACTCTGCACAGCGAATCGTGATGCCTTAGATGACTGGGCCACCTGTGCCCTCGAAACTTAGCACGAAATTTGTTGCCATAATCATAATATTAATATTTAGTTAAAGATTTAGGTAGTCCCTAGATTCATATTCTATAGGGGCAAACCTTAAGAACACTAGGACCCTGCTTAACACACCCTCCCCATCCCCTTACCCCCACCCCCACACCCCTACTTCCTAGTTCCGAATACCCCAGCGGGGATTCCTATGTCTGATTCCCGGTAGCAGGTGGCAGAAGCGTCTAAGGTACTACCATGACTACAGTTTGTTGTGAGGAGTTATCTCCCTCAGGCATGACAGGATCCAATAATTGTGTGTTTGACACCAAGATTCACCTGATTGTTTTTTTCCATTTTCCCGTGCTTGTGGGTTTCACCATTGTGGTAAATATCAAAGACGTGCATAGTTCAGCCTTTCCTCCCCCATCAAGCTGGCATGCTGTGATATAACTACCAATTCACTACATATTCAGTTGGATTAACATACAATAGTGTCAGCAATGTTTGATGTTGAATTGAAGCAAATTGGTGAGTTACTGCATGGGTTCATAATTTTTAATACAACAATTCACAAAATTGCATCTCATTGTTGATGGCAACACAACGATGATTATGAGGTTAAAAAAAGACAACAGAACCAGCTTCCCCCATTAGGTGAGAGGATGACTTGTTTGTTAAACCTATATTAGAAATTATAATGACTTTTTCAATATAATTACAACGTTTCTCATCAAATATTATTGAATGTCTGCAAGTACTGGTACAGTCTTGCTGTCCAACTTTGCGGTGTGTCGTTGCGTTTCACTTCCTAGCTCGGCTTATCTACGGGTCATATAATGTTCTTTCATATGTCAATGGTCAAATTAATACCTCGGTTTATCTACGGGCACAGGAACTCGATGATAGTGTGTATAACATAATATATTTGTATAGAAAAAAATCACACCCCTCTTTATATATTTTAATGTATTTATAGGGGCGGTCGGGTAGCCTGGTGGTTAAAGCGTTCGCTCGTCACCCGGGTTTGATTCCTGACATGAGTACAATGTGAGAAGCCCATTTCTGGTGTCCCCCGCCGTGATATTGCTGGAATATTGCTAAAAAGCGGCGTAAAACCTTACTCACTCACTCACTCACTAATGTATATAGAGGGGTGTGATTTTTTTCTCTATACGAATATATAATGTGTATAACATCGCTATCATCGAGTTCCTGTGTCTACGGGGGCCGGCTTATCTGCAGTCATATACGGTAATATACTCTTCAAACAGCATTAAACTAACTCACTCATTCATTCTTTGTTCAGGCACTGCGCATGGTTACCATGCCCTAACGTTTGGTTTCTATGTGGACACACTGGTGAGGATGGCTGACCCCAAACACAGGAACATGACACAGATATTCCGAGAGGAGATCGCTGAGCCCTTTGGTAAGTATATTTGTAACAGGCTTTGGTTTACCCTTGGTATTTTTGTCACGTTGATGAAACCTGTCCTTTTTAAAATGTTATCCTGGTTAGACAGAGTCAAATAGCAGGAAAATCAAGTACCAAGCGTCCTGTGAAACATCCTGTTTGATTCGGGGTCACGCAATATGTCATCATGATTATGGGTTTGGCGGATGACACATGCTATGAATCGCTCCCCGAGTCAAGGGAGTTTACTGACTATAAAACTCAAGTGAGCTTATGTCATGACTTATTTGTCCGTCATCCATCGTAAACATCTTTGCTTCTCCTAAGAAAGCACTGGACCAATGATGCTAAACTTTCACATATTTGTTCTTTCTTATAGTGACACCGCAATTATTAAAGAGGCTTAATTTTTATTTTCAAAATGGCCACAATGGCAGCCCTATTAAAAAAAACATTTTTGGCCATTTCTCTGCCATGTATTTTTAATAATATAATGAAATTTGGTATGTGTTGTTGGGCCTCAACATAATTATATGTTCTGTTTTTTGCTACATTTTAAATTTTGAAATATATTTGTCCTTTGCACTTTGACATTGCTCCTAAGTTCTCTCAAAAGGGTTTCTTCGGATTGTAAACATTATCAGCGACAAAACTACTGGACCAATGAAACTGAGACTTCACATAATGTTCCCAAGGTGATGGCACCTGAATGTGTAAAAGAGTTTGAATTTGATTTCAATAAGTCAAGCCATAAACATGATACACATAGCTCTGTAAACATGATAAACTTCTCTGAAATTGCCAGGCATAGGTAGCTGAACTTTGGCCTATATGTTTCTTCTTGTGATAACATAATTTATGCAAATCATCAGATTGTTCACATTGTGTGTTCATTTTAGCCTCCATATTTAAGCAGGAATTGCACAGCAGCTTTTGTTAAGTGACTATCTTTGGGTATAGGGGCAGTAGGGTAGCCAAGTGGTTAAAGCATTCGCTTATCACACCAAAGACCTAAGGCTAAAAAATGATATTCCTGGTTGTCAGGCACCGCCGCATCATCATAAAGTCTGCCGCACGTTATGTTTTTATTTCGGTTTTTCCCAAAAAAATAATCCTTAAATGTTCCGCGTCTCGAACACACGACCTCAACTGTGAAATGCTACAAAACTTAAAAACAATGCGATCCAATATAACGTACAGTTACTTCCCTTTTCATGCGCACTGCTTTAGTGCGCATCTCGTGTGTTATGGTCATGGCAGCAATAGGAGTTTGTGTGCTTGCTTTGCCATTTGCGGGTGAGTATGGTTTTACGCCGCTTTTAGCAATATGCCAGCAATATCACGGCAGGGGACACCACAAATCGGCTTCACATATTGTAACCATGTCGGGACTTGAACCCGGGTCTTCGGCGTGATAAGCTAACGCTTTAACCACAAATTTGGTCAATGAAAACATTAAATTTGTGATACAACATCACTGGACATGATGATGGTATTCAAATACAAATTCAGTGGTTTTTGTGTACTGTATGAGGGACAATGTTTCATATGCAGAGGTTATTTGTCTCGTAAAATAAGCGGGAAATCAATGCTAATTTATACACCCCGGCTATAAAGCCAGTCGGAATGAAGCACATCACTAGTGCATACAAAATCCCCACATTTGCAATTAAAATGCGTTTGTCTTCCTCAGAAAAAACAAATTACATCGTAGCCCCTCAGCGAATTCAGGGAAAGGGAACAGATTATAACAAACTTGGCCAATACAAATTTGAAATTTGAGATAAAACATCACTAAACATAATGATTAGCTGATTAAATTGCATTTCCTGTTCTGATTGGCATTGTTTTATATGCAGAGATTAAGATTACCGTGCGTCTTGTCTCGTATACTAAGCCGGAAGTAGCAATCACCTGTACACGGGTTTCTCGGAATCTACTGGTGATTCGGTAAAAAATTACCCAATAATATAACTTTAAAGAATTTTGATACAAGGAGCGGAAGAATTGTATCTGAAACTATTATTTTATCAGAAATAATTTATTCCAATATCATGTTAGTTGCAGCTTTACTATATATATGTGAAATAAATTAATAACCATAAGCGAAGCACTTTGGTTCAACTGATCGCCATTGTCGGAAATGTTTTCGAATGGAAGTATTTGACCAATCACCGTCCATGCTCATATGCCCGCGATTGTGAAAACTTTATGTTGACATATAATAGTCAAACTACAACTAATATGACTTTCAGCGATTCAATGTATGGTATTAATGATATATTCATTAATCTATCCATTCTCTATCCACTAAAGTTTGTTTCAAGGCTTCAATAGCAGCAATATGACCGTGGTTGCTGTAAATAACTGTGAGTTGTGCGATCTTCCGATCACTTCACATACGATTTTGCCCAAATGAATTGAAACAATATTGAATGAAATGTTGAATAAAGTTAATAAAATAGATAACCAACATAAGTCCAGATATATCATGAACTGTTTTTACAACCAGACAGTGTAATTACATGATTAATTTGGGTATTTCAGTACGGATTTGTTGATTTGGTATTTCTGGTGTTACGTGCCCATAGTAATGTCTTAGTGTTGCGGAAAAAAACCATAAAATACTCAACTCTGTGTATAAAAAACATAAAATACTCAACCCTGTGTATAAGACGACACCCAATCACCCACCCCCGAAAGCCTCCTCCTAATTCTAGTTATGGAAAACTTGCCACAGCGATATGGATATATGGATTCTTACGTTTCTTAAGTTACTTACCTCTCTCTCCTCCCCCCCCCCCCCCCCCCCCCCACACACACAAACAAAAAAAAAAAATGTGTGAAGCCCATTACTGGTGTCCCCTACTGTGATAATGCTGGAATATTGCTAAAATACTCACTCACTCACTCACTCACTCACTCACTCACTCACTCACTCCACCCCACCCCACCCCACCCCACCCCACCCCATCCCACCCCACCCCAACCCATCCCACCCTACCCCACCCCACCCACTCACTCTTTTGTGACACTTTAAACTGATGACGTATCTAGGTGAGCTGCAGTGCGGTAGCACTAGTTTAAAGTCCTTGTAGGCCCAGTAGTCTCAAGTTACAGGACATCCTCAAGTCATGTCAGCTGCTCCAGGATTGGCTGCTTGTGGATTCCAAAGGCTCACGTAACATGATTATATCCCCAACAGGGTGACATAGTTACACCAAGGAATTCCATCCATTCTTCTATCATGTCTATTCAATCCGTCCAGCCTTCCAAGGACATTTATCGAGGTGTGGCCTATAACTTGAAAACCACTGCATAGATTCTTTTCAAACTTGCTTAACACTTTCTATACCAATAGGAGGGATGCAGTGCCAAGTTTGATTTAAATTTTCAGATTTCCTGAAAAAAGATTATAGTTATTTTTCAATTTTTTACTTATATTCTTTACTTAAACATTTGTGTGACCTATAACTTGAAAACTTCAAACTAGATTCTTTTCAACTTTAGGGAACAGTTTCCATACAAATAGAAGAGGGGCAGTGCAAAGTTTGATTTTGATGGGGCTACAGTTTCCTATACCAACAGGAGAGGTGCAGTGCAAAAGTTTTGATATCGATTAGTGGATTTTCTGAGAAAATAATGCTTTATCATGTTTTGAACTTTGAAATATGTTGGAGTCGAGGTTGGGCATCTTCCCGAGGCAAGTGAGTTAACTGACTATAAAAGTCCAGTTTCCATCCTTGCCGAACTAGGCTGGTATTATGGAGTTAGATTTTGGCTGGACTAACGAGTCTAGGCATAGTCCAATCAAAATCGCGCAACGAAATCGAAATCCGGTTCGTAGAGTGTCATGCAGATTTCGGTCGACTGCAGGATTTGCAAAGCATGTGCACCGCTAACTCATTGTCAACAGATATTTTCTAAATCTTTTCATGTTTTTAATCAAGGTGCTCACGTGATTTGATGCACTTCGCGATGTAAGACTCGTTTTATCACAATATAGATCTTGATTATCGATCAGATCGTCTTGACTGGGCGCCACCGTTTTGTTTGAAACAAATGCAAGTGATACGAGAGGTTAAAATCTGATAGGTCAATAGGAGAGGCATAGAAAGGACATAACTCGTAATAGCCACTGGTGGCGCTACGATCGAGCCCAGGAATTCCAGCCTAGTTCGGCTAGGGTGGAAACTGGACTTTCAAAGTCAGTTAACTCTCTTGCCTCGGGAAGATGAGGTTGGGAGTATTAGTGAGACCTGCTTACTTTTTACCTTGTTCTTGTTCCTATGATATTTCCAATAAACAAACATGCTTGGCTAACAATCTCCATGTATCTGTTTCAGATATCGACTTCCACATTGGCCTCCCTAAGTCCTTGTCATATCGAGTCGCTCGCGGACAGTACATGTCTAACTTGGAGTCTCTCTTTGCCGCCATCACATCATGGAAGAAGTTTGTCCTCTTTTCTAGAATCATGTTCTACCCAGAATCCTTCACTGCCAAGGCCGTGACTGTTATAGATATGAAGGTTAGTAACTGTTCAACTAGTTACATTGCTAAGTTGGAATAGTCCTCCAGTGACATATGCTGGTTGTAAGAGACAACTCTTTGAGATGGGATGGTCAGATTTGTGACTTGATTGATTGTGTGTCATCGTAATCCTGGCGGTGTGGATAAGTCTAAATAAGAACTGGCTTTGCTATTGAAAAATCATAATAACTGCTCTAAAGATATGTAGTACAGTCGAATCTCATTATCTTGAACGTACCGATATCTCAAACCTTTTCTCCCGACCACCTTACTATATAATGTTCATGCCTAGTTATCCATGTTATCAAGAATGTCTGGATATATCAAAGTAAGGGTGGTCAGGCCTGCTGACGTGGTTGATGCATGTCATCGTATCCCAATTGTGTGGATTGATGCTCATGATTTCAATCACTGGATTGTCTGGTCCAGACTTGATTATTTACAGACCGCTGTCATATAGCTGGAATATTGCTGAGTGCGGCATTAAACAACAAACCAACCAAACAACCAAACAACCAACCAACCATCTAGGTTCAAGATAATGTTTGTTTGTTATTTAACCCTTCACTCAGCTATAGTCTAGCTATATGACGGCAGTCTGTATATAATCAAGTCTGGATCAGATTATCCAGTGATTGACATCATGAGCATTGATTGTCTGATCCAGACCTGATTTTTTACAGACCACCGTCATATAGCTGCAATATTGCGGCGTTAAACAACAAACAAACAAACAAACCATTAGGAGAGTCGTGATCCTGTTGCGATCTTCTCATCATAAGATAAGCCACAATAACAAGCACATGCAGTGGATAGGACTTTTTATTGACAGAACAATAGGCTCACTGACCCTGAAGTGATGAGTATTGGTCAATCAGCTTTCCTTGGTATTGGGACAGCCCGCAGCATTGCTAAGCTCTACAGTTACATGTCCATGGGCGGAAGTATCAAAGGGAGACAACTCCTAAAACCTGAAACCTGGAAACTGTTGACAAGCCCATTCAGCACCGGACCTGATCTTGTAATTCCTATGATGAATGGTAGCTGGGCCAGAGGAGTAGCTATTCGTGAACTCCCGTACACAAAGTACAAGGTAGGTGATCCTTAATCTCTCAACACCATAAGACGCCGCAATTTGCTGCGAACAGTTGCATTCCTTGGGCACGCCAGAAACCTATGATTGTGGGTTCGAATCCCGGTTCACCCCGATTATGTTTCTAGGTTTGTCGGCACCATACCCGTGCTCGTGGGTTTCTGACCTGCATCACTTCGAGCTTTCCTCCCACATTAGGCTGACACGCTGCGATATAACTGGAATACTGTTAAAAGCAGTGTTAAACCCAACTCACTCACACTCAACACCATATGCATACCGAAGTGCACCTATGACCTGTGTCACCTTTGACCCAACAGCTGACATGCCATTATGTACCTACCATATTAGCAATAATTAGCGCACTGAGCACATAGAAAATTGACACAGAGGGCTGTTTATTAAGTCCATAAACAAGTTACATTTGTTATCAGGGATCGAGTGGTAGAGAACATAATTTGTTCAAACCTCCATGAAGCTAAAATGTTTTCAGTAAAAGTTACTGGGCAGTACATCCCCCTTTCCACACTGCTGTGTTTACTGTAAAAAGATCTGTAATAAGAAAATACAAATGGTCAGGCTTATTTCCGGTCTTGGTACCACCGCATATAAAGATTACTTACAGATTGATCTATAAGTTGCACAGGGGGCACTTACTGGAGCGGGGCACTTCTTGGAATGGGGTGTTTATTATGGTGAATACAGTAAAAAAGATTAAAAGTGGATTTATACCCATCTCATCCACTTGTATTGTTTTCAACAGGTGGGTCATCAGATGCTGAAGTTTCAAGTTCAGTTTACTTGTTAAGCATGGTTTATCTATAGGTAACCTCTACATTGAAAACACATTGTGTTTGTCCCCCATTTACTTAGGAGATAAACATGTTGTGTTTTCAGTTTGGAGCTAGGTAACCTGTAGAGCTAACCACGCTACCACAAAAGATATGACATCACATCTGGATATAGAGAGACACCAAATTTTAAGCTCACTGTTGTCTCAAAACTTGAGAACTCTGTCAAATTCTATCATGTTTTTCTTCCAACATCTATTCGGGGGCACGGATGGCCCAGTCGTCTAAGGCGCTGCGATATGCTGTGAAGAGTTGCATCCCTTGGGCACGCCAGACACCTATGATTGTGGGTTCGAATCCCGGTTCGCCCCAATCATGTTTCTCAGTTTGTCAGCACCATACCCGTGCTTGTTTCAGAAGTGATAAACGTCTGAGACCTGCATCACTTCGGGCTTACCTCCCACATTAAGCTGACACGCCGTGATATAACTGGAATATTGTTAAATGCGGCGTTAAACCAAACTCACTCACTCACTCACTCACTCACTCACTCACTCAAGCACTCACTCACTCACTCACTCACTCACTCACTCACTCACTAAGAAAGAAGTTCTTTTCCATAAATATTAGCTTTTGCAGGGGATGCGGTTGTGATCAGGTGTTTCAGCCAGAGGTGGTTATTGTGATTTGACACCTCTTATTGACCAATCAGAATCGAAATTCCAAATTCATGGAAAAATTGATTTATTACTTGACTGTTTTTTCAGGGCCAGAATGTTATTGGCCACCCAGGCTATGGAGGTCAAGTTGGCCACTTTGACCCCGTCAACCAGCTGTCTGTGGGCTACCTCACAAACTATGCCTCCCAATATGGTGTGTGGGATGACCCGCGGTTCCTCGACCTCGAGGCAGCCTTATATGACTGTCTAGACGATTATGTACGAGGATTGAAATAATCATAAGATTCAGATTTTCTGAAAGTCTAAAAGATTTATAGATACTTCAGAAAAGTCTATGAGATGCTTAGATAATTCTGAAGTCTATGGGACTTATAGGTAATTGAATAGAAAGTAAATGTATTTCTTTTTTTATACAAATGTTCATAAAGGCTAAAAAATTAATAGACTGGGTTTTCAGGCACTGCCCACATCATCATAAAGTTCATTGCACGTTTTGTTTTGGTTTCCATTTTCAATTTTTTTGGTGCATTGTGTTTAATTAATTATTAATTAAATTACGCATTTATATAGCACTACTTATCCAGATATACTGCCTGCTCAAGAGCGCTCAGTCAGTTTAAGTATTAGGATTTTTATATTTTATTTTAAAATGGAAATAAATAAAAAACATGCGGCAGACTTTGTGATGATGTGGGTGGTGCCTGAGTTTTTTTTAGCCTAACATATCATATTTGATCTACTAGATCTTAAGATTCTCGATATGTTATTAGTTGTTCAGTTTTAGTTTTATTTGAACCCTGAAATGCATGACATTTGTGGAAAAGTTTACCTCCGTAATTAGAGGGAGACAATGCCCTTGTACTTGTTCATCACAAGCAGAATGCTGCTTCATCTCGTTCTGGCCTGAATAGGCTAATGTGATCATTTATCGTGGACAGACTTTGTTTATCACCTTCAGTATGTAAGGGAGGTAATCGCATAGTTGTTGAAACCAGTATTGTTAATATTGATTTAATCATGCTGTTTTGATTAATCATTTAATAATTTTATGAACAAAATGTTTGCAGCCTCGCATCAAAGTTTTCTTGTATTACATGTATTACATGGTTTAAAGATCCTCTGAATCAAATTTAACTGATGTGGAATATAATTAACATTGACATTTTTAGACTAGTCCTCTTTCTTCCTGTTGAATTTATTGCATACTTTCTTTGAAATATAATTCAAGTAGTAATAGAAGTACCTCACTTACTTTTTATCCTAGACCCGTGAAAATCCGGGGTGGAATAGGTCTTCAGCAACCCATGCTTGCCGTAAAAGGCAACTTTGCTTGTCATTAAAGGAGACAAACGGGATCGGGTGGTCAGGCTCACTGACTTGGTTGATACATGTCATCGTATCCCAATTGCGTGGATCGATGCTTATGATGTCAATCACTGGATTGTCTGATCCAGACTCGATTATTTTACAGACCGCCGTGATATATCTGGAATATTGCTGAGTGCGGCGTTAAACAACAAACAAACAAACAAACAAAAACTTCTTCTTCCCATTTTAAAATATTCTTTAAAATTTCATTAAAAATATATTTTGGAAATTGGTATTTCACCAGAAGTGCCAGACCAACAATATTTTAAAGAGATCACTTAAAGACACAATGTTTTAATATATATTTCAATCATCATTTATCATGTTTATTACACTTTGAAAGACTTTTTGGTAAAACAAATAAAAAAACAATTATTACTCATTCTTTCTTCTTCATGCTTTGTAGATAGTCCCAAATAAGGCTTTTCTTTCAAAAACTCTATGAAGTATAAAAAAATATTAGCATTTACTACAAAACAAATAACTTGTCCCGAATATTTACATGAATTATTGTCCTTCTTCCACAACTACTGAAACCAGTAACCAGGTCCTGTCGGGGGTGTCAGAAATCAGTAGTCAGTAAGATCTGGGGCATTTTGTCAGTAGTCATTATTTTTTTAGCTGAGTGAAAAAACCTACACGAATAGTAGACAAGTTGTAAATAAATGCAAAATCATCTCTATGCGAATGCAGATCGTAGGTTTGTCTGTAGTGAATTCATACAGTTCAGTGACATATTTATATGTATGTATTGTTCCTGGGTCTTAGAAAGGGAGGTCACTCTAATTCTGCACATTGGCAGTGGCATAGACACTTAGTCCGTAAAAACATTTCTTTTAATTCTTTTTTTATTGTAATTCATTATTTTCATGAGAACCTTTCCTCCTCTGCTGTTTTCATATCAAGGAAAGTAGACTTGGTTTAGTTTGATCTAGACTTGCCAAGACTTTCAGTAAAATTATATATATTGTCATGGCACAGGACTAGCAGTGGCCATGGTTCCCCACTTCCCCAGGATACATGCTGGTGCTATTTAGTGCTATTTTCTCTTGTTGTACTATTGTGTGTCCTTTGTTGACACTCTTATTCTACATTGTTGTTATTAAGTATATTTTGTGGAGAGAAAACTTTCAGTTTGAAGAAACAATTCAGCAAGGCCATATTAGAAAATGTATTATAATTAACTGCTGCATGGATGTATATATTGGAACCCTAACTATGAGACATGTCTGACTTCTACAGGTGTGAAGAATTATCAGATTAGAAGTGGAGCTGAGTATGCCTCTACCATGATAGCGATCAAAGGCACATCGCATGGCAGAAATGTGTTACAGTTTGTGTCTTATTGCTACAATGAAACAAAACCTGATACCTTGCCATAAAGAAAACCCATGCATGCCACTATTCATCCTCAACTCTTCCTGGGTTTGTATGCACTTCATTCCTCGATGACCCTTGTATACATACATTGGTTCAATCTTGAGAGAGACCTGGAGTTTTCAGACCAATGAGGGCACAAATCGCAATGGAAATACACACGATTTGTGGCATCTACGAGAAGTGGCTGAAAAGTTCTAAGCCTGTCTGTGACGGACTGTGTTGATGGAGCTGGTTGCTGATTAGTTTTCAATATAATCGAGGTCAACACACTTCTGCCACCGATGCTGGAGTTCCTGGATCTCACTTGTGTAGAAGGCTTCCTTCTGGTGGTGTACTACGTCCTCCACAGCAGAAATGATGTCATCATCATTTGCATAATGCTTGCCAGACAGTTCTTTCTTCAAGTTTGGGAAGATGTGGAAATCTGACTTTTTCATTTGCCTTCAATATAACTTTTACATGGCCTTAAATACATGGCCCTCTCAGCTTAAAACAGACTGCATTACGACGACACCACATGTCAGCTGTGTGTATACAGTTGAGGATCCACAGGGGGGGATTCTTTGTGTGGCCACCTCCCCTTTTTACATGTGATGACATTCTGTATGTGTATGTCCCACTATGATAGCATGTAATTATTCATAATGGTTTACATATAATCAAGTTACAAATGGCCAAAGTAGAACCCCTCCCCCTTTTTTAAATACTGGATCCGCCCCTGTGTATATATGGGTGATGAAGAAACATGTACGGGTACATACATTAGCCTTTAAAAATATTAGAATTGGTTCTCAGGCAATGACTTTTGAAAATATAGTGCGGGCAGTGTTTTTTTTTTTTTTTCGCTTGTTCAAATCGGTATGTACTGGTAACCAAATAAACAAATGTGTACCATCAACCTGGGAAAGAGTATAACAGGACAACTACCATGTCGGGTTGGGACGAGTCCAAATTTACTACCCGGGTTCCCACCCCCCTAATACCCGACCCTACCCGGATACCCACTGTAGGTCTGAGGAGATGTCTCAAAATGTCCGATTGGGAACATTTTTAGCATAGGCCTGGCAAAACGTATTTAGGTACATGTATTAAACAGTCTGGTCATTCATACACTGAAATTGAATAAGGTTATATCTTTATTCAACCATATGAAAAATCAGAAGGAATGGGTGCATAGTCAAAGAAATGCCAACATTAGTGACTTTAGTGTAACCATAGAGTTCTAGATAATTTTTGTCATTAAACAAAATATCATGTGACTAACCACGGGTGCAGGTAGTCCTGTGGTTACCCGGATCCTACTCATTACCCACCCGATCTAGGTATCCGAGTTACCCGTCCCAGCCCTACTTCCATGACTACAGAAGCAGCAGGTTTAATGCTTGCATGTACATTATTGCATTCAATGCTATGTTAATGATGTTTTACATCTGAACGTCTAATTCTGGAGTCTTCACTCTTTGAGAATATTGCCACTGATTTAAGATGCAGTGAACACAGGCCCTTAAAAATGTTTCATTGCTTAAATATGTCTAGATGTTTGTTCTGATGTTTATTATCACATGAGTGTCAGAAATACACTATCCTTTATAACTTTATTATATGTAGAGTTGTACATTTCTGATGTGATACTGGGACGGTCGGGTAGCCTAGTGGTAAAAGTGTTCGCTCGTCACACCGAAGACCCGGGTTCGATTCCCGACATGGGTACAATGTGTGAAGCCAATTTCTGGTGTCCCCCACTGTGATATTGCTGGAATATTGCTAAAAGCGGCGTAAAACCATGCTCACTCACTCACTGATGTGATACTGATAGATCTTGAAATATTTAAGCAGCATCACAAGGGTCCTTGTTTATACCTCTAGTTTCTTGTTTGTTTAGTGAGAGTGACGTCCTGGCCAAGTATATTGTCTGAAGGCCAGAATAAAGAAATTGTTAGATCTCAATTCCCACAGTGGCATTAAAAAACAAAGAAACATATTACATAATTATAATTTGTCTTTTGACACTGTATGTTGTTAACAGTAATCTTTTTTATGAACCTATTATAATCTCTTTACTGCTTGCAAAATAAAGTCAAAATATATATTTTATTAAAACTGAGATTGTTTTCTTTGTTTGTGTGAGCAAACATACCAATGAAACCAGAAGCTGGTTTAACATAAGAGTTTTGATCCCCAGTTGCCAATGTTGGTGTGTTGAGAGAGCCTGTTGGTTGGAGAGATGGGTGTGTGTCCCCAGTTCCCAATGTTGGTGTGTTGAGAGAGCCTGTTGGTTGACGAGATGAGTGAGTGTGTGTCCCCAGTTCCCAATGTTGGTGTGATGAGAGAGCCTGTTGGTTGGAGAGATGAGTGTGTGTCCCCAGTTCCCAATGTTGGTGTGATGAGAGAGCCTGTTGGTTGGAGAGATGAGTGTGTGTCCCCAGTTCCTAATGTTGGTGTGATGAGAGAGCCTGTTGGTTGGAGAGATGAGTGAGTGTGTGTCCCCAGTTCCCAATGTTGGTGTGTTGAGAGAGCCTGTTGGTTGGAGAGATGGGTGTGTGTCTCCAGTTCCCAATGTTGGTGTGATGAGAGAGCCTGTTGGTTGGAGAGATGAGTGTGTGTCTCCAGTTCCCAATGTCGGTGTGATGAGAGAGCCTGTTGGTTGGAGAGATGAGTGAGTGTGTGTCCCCAGTTCCCAATGTTGGTGTGATGAGAGAGCCTGTTGGTTGGAGAGATGAGTGTGTGTCCCCAGTTCCCAATGTCGGTGTGTTGAGAGAGCCTGTTGGTTGAGGAGATGAGTGTGTGTCCCCAGTTCCCAATGTTGGTATGTTGAGAGAGCCTGTTGGTTGAGGAGATGAGTGTGTGTCCCCAGTTCCCAATGTTGGTGTGATGAGAGAGCCTGTTGGTTGGAGAGATGAGTGTGTGTCCCCAGTTCCCAATGTCGGTGTGTTGAGAGAGCCTGTTGGTTGGAGAGATGAGTGTGTGTCCCCTGTTCCCAATGTTGGTGTGATGAGAGAGCCTGTTGGTTGAGGAGATGAGTGTGTGTCCCCAGTTCCCAATGTTGGTGTGATGAGAGAGCCTGTTGGTTGAGGAGATGAGTGTGTGTCCCCAGTTCCCAATGTTGGTGTGTTGAGAGAGCCTGTTGGTTGGAGAGATGAGTGAGTGTGTGTCCCCAGTTCCCAATGTCGGTTTGATGAGAGAGCCTGTTGGTTGAGGAGATGAGTGTGTGTCCCCAGTTCCCAATTTTGGTGTGATGAGAGAGCATGTTGGTTGAGTAGATGAGTGAGTGTGTGACCCCAGTTCCCAATGTTGGTGTGATGAGAGAACCTGTTGGTTGGAGAGATGAGTGAGTGTGTGTCCCCAGTTCCCAATGTCGGTGTGATGAGAGAACCTGTTGGTTGAGGAGATGAGTGAGTGTGTGACCCCAGTTCCCAATGTTGGTGTGATGAGAGAGCCTGTTGGTTGGAGAGATGAGTGAGTGTGTGACCCCAGTTCCCAATGTTGGTGTGATGAGAGAGCCTGTTGGTTGAGGAGGTGAGTGAGTGTGTGTCCCAAGTTCCCAATGTTGGTGTGATGAGAGAGCCTGTTGGTTGGAGAGATGAGTGTGTGTCCCCAGTTCCCAATGTTGGTGTGATGAGAGAGCCTGTTGGTTGGAG